ATTCTATGAGTGGCTAGTCGGTCAAGAACGAAAGGATTGATAATTATGGATTTTTGATGTTATGTTTGTTACATTGAACACGATATGATTGGTAAATAAATTAGTATGCGAGCATTTAACATGGGTAATTTAATAAATCTTGATTAAGTAGTACTAACTATAAACCCAATAAAACAATCTGCCCGCATAACATGAGATGGTTGTTTATCTTGTTGAAAACCCATCTAGACTAAACAACCGCACTTAGTGTATGTTCTCTATTTACAAATCAATCAAATCAAAACCTAAAGTTATAGATTAATTTTAATAACCCTTTTTTTTTAACTCTACCTCAACCATATCCAATTTCCATATGTACAATGTTGGTATTACGAGGAAGAGTACTAAGGATCATTGTGTCTAAGCGCATGAAACACCATAATCAGTGCATCCATCATGAAATTGTGTGAAAAACACATCATGGAAGCAAGTCTCGCGTGCAAGTGTGGCTTTCAAGTTTGTCTCTCTGTTGCCTTAAACTTGTAGACCGTGGGTGCTTGCAGACTGGAGGTCGCAATAGCTTGATTGTTGAGGTACGAATGGTAAATAAACAAACGTGTGAATTATCACGGGAGGCTTCCTCAGAGCCTTTTGGTCTAGTGAAAGCCTTCCTTCGAAAACCAGTCATTCCTTTCCATAGCCTTCCTCCAAGTCATACCTTGCCAAAACTAGGAATTTTCTTACAGTTGCGACATTACTCCGCAATACTATCCTATGATTGATTAAGAACCGCTCGAGCTGAAAATATCCTATGATTGATTGCTGGGCAATTTAAACATGTTCTTGATTGAACACCACACCCATTTCTGTCCCATCCTTTTCACTCTTATAAGGCCCCATACTAATGTGCCTATCATTTCCAGTCTTCTTTCACAACAGGGACAATGTTTCTGATGGGCAGTTGGGTCGTGGGTTTGTCCCTTTCTGCTCATTTTCAGACGGCTAAAGCTTCTCACAAGTAACCGTGAACCCAATTTTTGTGGACCATTTGAATAACCTTGCACCTAACAACATATATAAAACGCAATTGTCTTGTAATCCCTACTTATCGATTACTAACCCAACATAATTTACACGATGATACATTGTTAAGTTCTTCATTGCAGAATTGAAATATGATAGTGATCATGGTGACCTTTTCCTTAGTGCACGAGTGGTGGCGGTAGCTCGTGCTGTAAGTTAGTGTGGTGCCTAATAATATTAGACATTCAGTCAATAATGCACGTCACGGATCACGTTAGGTAGAGATACTTTACGTAATTTTTTTCACTCTTGTTTTATAACTCTCACTGTCTGTATATACCAAACGTGTTAGCAACATCCTGTTGTGTCGTTTGTTTTTTTTTTTTTTGGAAAATGTTGTGTCAGTCTGTTGTATGCTCACTTTATATATAGTTGATTTGGTATGACTCTATGCTTTTTTTTTTTTCCTGAATTTTGAGTTTTCATGTAGATCAATGTGGTTTATTTGCAATCTTTTTTGTTTTCATATTGTTGTCACATACCCAATCTTGGGTTAGGGGTGTTATACCTAAGTATTGCTTCATACATAAGCACGTTTATTGCTATTATTACTTGAAGATCAAGTCACTTGCCAAACACGATGGAACCTCCCAACTAGCTACTGCTCTTATGTGTCTTTCCACAATTAAATTTCATAAACATTTTGGTGAAAATATTTTCTCCACTGCTCATCTACATGATTCTTGAAATTAATGAAAGTTTTTTCCGGCGGCCGGGGGTGGGGTTTGTTGCAATTTTCTTTCCAATCTTTGATTTGAGGCAGGAAAGGAGAGGTTGGTTCCTGGGTACAAGGTGCGCATTAATCCTTGTTATGATTGGATCTTTGTTAATTAGAAAATGGTGGTTGAATGTTTTGCGGGTCATGGGAAACCATTCTCACCCGCAAAAATTCATTACTATTATAAAAAGAGAAACTTGATTGTGTTATGGAAGAAATTTTTTTTAATGCCGCACTTTCAATTTTTACTATTTTAATAGGTGTTTTTATAATTTTATATAGGTTATTTTATAACAAAAAGATTTATTACTTTTTGTAAGCACTTTTATCACTGTTATAGTTTTGTTTTTTACATTTATGATAACTATTTTTATCACTTTTTTGTGGTACAAAAAAATTATTACTTTTTGTGGGCTATTTACCACATTTATAGGCGTTTTTACCACTTTTGTGTTGATGTTGTTATAGTAACTATTTTTACTATTTTTTTGGGTATTACGATAATGATAAAAAGATCCACATATGTGATAAATAAATGTATGGTACCAAAAAAAATAATAAAATATATATATATATATTTGGTATCATAGTTAAATCCTAAAAATGGCGGAGGAGAAGAGTTTAGTTTTCACAAGTAAAATACTTATTAACCTAGAATTGTTTAACAAGGTTTATGCTTGCTCGCATTCGGCTTCTATGTGCTTCTCTCTTGGTTCGTGTCTGCCACGTCTTGCGGATGGAGAATCAGGCTGCCGATTTCATGACTAATTGGGCTTGCTTTCAGTAGTTNTTTTTTTTTTTTGGAAAATGTTGTGTCAGTCTGTTGTATGCTCACTTTATATATAGTTGATTTGGTATGACTCTATGCTTTTTTTTTTTTCCTGAATTTTGAGTTTTCATGTAGATCAATGTGGTTTATTTGCAATCTTTTTTGTTTTCATATTGTTGTCACATACCCAATCTTGGGTTAGGGGTGTTATACCTAAGTATTGCTTCATACATAAGCACGTTTATTGCTATTATTACTTGAAGATCAAGTCACTTGCCAAACACGATGGAACCTCCCAACTAGCTACTGCTCTTATGTGTCTTTCCACAATTAAATTTCATAAACATTTTGGTGAAAATATTTTCTCCACTGCTCATCTACATGATTCTTGAAATTAATGAAAGTTTTTTCCGGCGGCCGGGGGTGGGGTTTGTTGCAATTTTCTTTCCAATCTTTGATTTGAGGCAGGAAAGGAGAGGTTGGTTCCTGGGTACAAGGTGCGCATTAATCCTTGTTATGATTGGATCTTTGTTAATTAGAAAATGGTGGTTGAATGTTTTGCGGGTCATGGGAAACCATTCTCACCCGCAAAAATTCATTACTATTATAAAAAGAGAAACTTGATTGTGTTATGGAAGAAATTTTTTTTAATGCCGCACTTTCAATTTTTACTATTTTAATAGGTGTTTTTATAATTTTATATAGGTTATTTTATAACAAAAAGATTTATTACTTTTTGTAAGCACTTTTATCACTGTTATAGTTTTGTTTTTTACATTTATGATAACTATTTTTATCACTTTTTTGTGGTACAAAAAAATTATTACTTTTTGTGGGCTATTTACCACATTTATAGGCGTTTTTACCACTTTTGTGTTGATGTTGTTATAGTAACTATTTTTACTATTTTTTTGGGTATTACGATAATGATAAAAAGATCCACATATGTGATAAATAAATGTATGGTACCAAAAAAAATAATAAAATATATATATATATATTTGGTATCATAGTTAAATCCTAAAAATGGCGGAGGAGAAGAGTTTAGTTTTCACAAGTAAAATACTTATTAACCTAGAATTGTTTAACAAGGTTTATGCTTGCTCGCATTCGGCTTCTATGTGCTTCTCTCTTGGTTCGTGTCTGCCACGTCTTGCGGATGGAGAATCAGGCTGCCGATTTCATGACTAATTGGGCTTGCTTTCAGTAGTTCAATTAGCGATTTCCTGATTAGTCATCCCTTCCTTCTGGGATTGCTGACATCCCTCATTTGGATGCTTAACAGACTCTTCATGTTTGTTAATGAATTTTATTTTTATTTATGTTTTCAGTTAGTTCTGTAAGGAGTTCCCACTTTGTTTTCATGTCTTTGGTGGTGAGTCACCACCTTGTTTTTGTTTTTATCCTTCCATTTTGTACTTCTGGAGATTAGTCCTCTTTCTTTGTATTTTTTTTCTTTTAGTTATATATACAGATAGGGGTCTGCCAAATTTCTCAGCCACATAGTGGTTTTGAAGAAAAGAAAAAACCTAGAACTGTTTGATCATCCATAATTCTCTATCTACTTCATTCAACTGCTTGCATAATTTATCTATTTTATCTTTCTTTCACACCCTCTTTCTATCTCACTGCCTTAGTATTATGCACACGGGTGGCCGTGTGTAGGACCACTAGTGTACCATAACAGACAGCATAGAAAGTAAAATTAATCAATCCATTTTGCAACCGATAAAGCTAGGCTTTCCCATCATGCATGTAAGGGTTGTTCTAACTTTGTACAAATGGCCAATGTTTTGATCTAAAGTCTTGCAAGCCAGTTGGACGATCATTTCCAACGACCATTCTAGGGTTTTCTGTGGTCTTCATGAGGATAAGGATCTTTTCTTGTCCCTCTATTTCTTTTACTTTAAACTGTACAAATTAGATCATGAGATGTGAAAGTGTGAAAAAGTTCAGTCATTCTGTCAAAATATTGGTTAAATAGGATTTGAGCTCCTGGGTTTAATCGATAACTTTAATTTGAGGGTAATTATATGTATGTATCACATTCGGTTCAATAATTTTGGATAAAATGGTCAACATACTATTCCGTTGTGATGTAGCGTTCTCTGAATGGTGAGAGAGTGGACTTAACTTACATGCACTTCATAGAATCTTTGCCCCAATAACAAGCCCAAAGGGCATAAAACAATGATATAATAAAGCCATTCATGGCATATTTTTATTTCCAAGTGGAAACTACCGATTATAAATCTACATGCTAGGGTTAGGTTTATGTGCCAACCCACTAAAGGCGACCTTTATGTTCAAACCCTCTTCACCCTTTTAGATTTACATCATTTACCTGATCAGCAAACCCCTTTTTTGTTGAATCTATAGCTGATCAGGGAAGTTTAGCATCTCCTTTTGAAAGATTTCTGCAAAGATAGAGAAAATTAGGGTTGCAGAATCATGAAGAAGCATCAAGTAGTGGTTAGAAGAGGTAAATCAGGCCGAAGCTCTGGCACATCGATCGTTAGGAATATTGTGCGTTATGCAGAATGCCAAAAGAACCATGCGGCTAATATCGGAGGCTATGCCGTGGATGGATGCAGGGAGTTCATGGCAAGCGGAGAGGAGGGGACAAGCGACGCGCTTACATGTGCTGCGTGTGGCTGCCATCGGAATTTCCACAGGAAAGAAGTGGAGGACGAGGTAGTTTGTGAGTCTTCTTCACCCTCTAATGGTGTAGAGCATTGAATGATCGAAACATAGAAGAAGAGGCTTTCATGTGTGACAATTTGCTCAGTTTTTTTTTGGCTTGTTTTCGGATTGGTGTATAGTTATTGGACACAAAACAGAAAAAATCGTCAACAAACTGAATTCTGTAATTAAGATATCTGTAAAGTGCTTGTTTCATTTCAAAAAATGGTTACAAATTGGCTAATAGTTTCCAATTTGTTTTGGAAATGGTGTATAGTTGTTTAGGAACATCCATCTGGAAAGTGAACTTTAAGTGTGGTGATTTCAAAGCATGATTAAGGATACTAATTTCTCTCCCTTTTTCTTCCACTAGTTGTTTTTTAGATACCAAATTACTGTAGTTTCTTGCAATCGGATGCTTTGAAGAGGAAGAATAGGAAGGTGGGAAAATAAGAAGGAAAAAAAAACGGCTGAACTCATCTTTGTCAATATGAACATTTTGGATACTAAGGTATGGATGAACGATAAGAGAAGAGAATATTATTTAGAAGTTAATTAAGGTTGCTCCATTTGACTTCTGGGTCATTAAAATACTTTCTCCATATGAGGGAGTAAGTTTGCACATGTCTCACCCTTCTTTGATCTGCAATAGTGAAAGCCTCAAAATGTGGAAGTGTGCTTCTAATTTAAATCTTATATAAACGTTGACAGTCGTAGAACCAAGAAAGAAGATTCAAGGGTAATCTATGTTGGTATGTTAGCATAAACTAAATTCGTAAGATGCCTAATATATCATGGAATAAATTTGGTGGTTGAGACTGAATAGAGGAGATTGGGTAGTATTTAAGAGGATAGGTACAATTAGAAATGCAGAATGGAAGACATTTTTATTAAACACCCCAGTGGGTTCTTGTATTGTTTAACAAGATTTTGTTTATTTGCTTCATGTATCCTATATAACTAAATTGATTGAATCCAATGGACACAGAAACAAAACTCTTACAGACAGGGCAAATGGTCCAACTATACAACTTCTTGTTTATCAATTCCATGCTTATCCTGTCTCTTTGTCAAGCTGTTTTGGTTTGCTGAACTTGCTAAGTCCATAGAAGCCAAATAATATTATAAAGTTCAGTCCCTCTGGAGCTTTTGGCATCCTCAGGAACCAGAAGACAGACGGTACAATGGTCTAAATTATTGCTAATTTTCTATTCCTCCATTTTCTTGGACCACTTGGACTTGGGTATTTTCAATTAAGATACTTCAATCTTTGTTGGAATTATATATGTAGTATTGTATGATATTTTAAAGGCCCACGTATTGGGTATTGTTTTCTTTCCATAATTCAAACTTCTTTATATAATATATACTTAAAGCTGACTAAAGTTGGAACTGCTAATAAATTAAGGAGTGATCCTCATCTCTTGAGGCAGAGATGTGAAAAAAGAGAAATCCAAAAAATTAGCAAATAGTTTTGATGTGTTCTAATGGATTTATGCCTAACCTTTCAAGTTTATGGGTATGCAGAATAAGTGCCAAATAATCAATCAATGGTCACTGGCTTCCTTGGAGACATTATGTGTCAAAAATATCATTTTGTGTTCTTTCAATTCTACAATAGATGAGGATTCAGCGGTGGCCTAATGGCTGACGACTCTGCCGTTAAACCTAATGGTTGCGGGTTCAAACCTCACCCACCTCTGCCCATGTACAAACTATTCAAAAAAAATAAAAATTCTACAACAGATGGAGTATGTGGTCTAACCCTTAAAGAGAGAGAGAGAGAGAGAGTCGTTGGTATCACCTGAGAAGCATTTGAGCACATGTTCTTAGGTACAATAATTTAGTATTGTATGATAGTTTAAAGGAAAGTATTAGATAATGTTTCTTGTCATAATTTAAAACTTCTTTGTGAAGATATATGATTAAAGCGGAATAAAGTTGGAACCACTAGTAAATTAAGGTTGTACAGTGATCCTCGTCTCTTTAGAATGGTTCAGTAGAACTGGCAAATAATAGAAAAAGAAGAGCCAAAAAATTAGCAAATAGCAATAATGTGTTCTAAAGGGTTTATATTTAACCACAAAGTTTATCCGATTGTCTAATAATTAGCAAAGAATCAATCAATAGTCATTCGCTTGCTATGGAGACAGTGTGTGTCAAAACTATCATTTCATGTTTTTTTTTTTTTGAATTCTACAAGAGCTGGAGGCTGTGGTTCAACGAGAGAGAGAGAGAGAGATTCTTTGGTATCACTTGAACAACTTAGTGGAAGTTCCCTTGGGAGCCTATATTCTTAACTACAATAATTACCATCAATCTTTCGCAGAAATTTCTAGTATTGTATGATAGTTTAAAGGCCCACGTAATTGATAATGTTTTCTCGCATAATTCAAAGCTTCTTTATATGAAATATATACACAGCTGAATAAAGTTTGAACTAGTAGTAAATTAAGGTTGTAGAATGATTCTCATCTCGTTAGAACTGGCAAGGACATACAAAAAGAAAAACCGAAATTTTTTTTTTTTTGGGGAAATTGTAATGATGTGTTCTAAAAGATTTATGTCTAACCTTTAAATTTTATGAATATGCCTCAGTAGTCAATGGGGAATAATTAAGATTGTCAGTATGTATGGAAGAACTATCAACAAACGAATTACGGTAATACTATGTTGACAATATTTTGAAACTAAATTTAGAACGTAAATGACATGACAGTATATTATTTTGAGTCTTTATTAGCGTTCAAATGACATGATATCAAATAAAGAAGCTCAAGTCAATTGTCATATCATTTGGACTCTAAATTTAATCTTAAAATTTGATCAGTGTAACAATACTGATCGAATTATTGGGAGTAGCCATCCATTAATTGAGCTTGCATTGCAGGAAATATGGAGAGATACTCAATTACACCTAAAATGGTAGCATTAGAATGACTACTGTTAATTTCTATAATGCTTATATATTTGTCCCACATTGATTAGATTAGGAAATTTCACTACTCTCTTATACTACAAATAAATCTCTTCATGTAAATAATAAATTACACTAATGCAATATGCAATTGCTATTCATTTTCTATTCTCTTCTTTCATATAGTATCAGAGTCTAGGTTCTTGAATCTTTTTTATCAAGGATAGTATACTTTGTGGTTGTCCTGAGATGGATATTCCGTATTAGAACTCTTAAGGCTCTTCTTCGTTCTTCAAATTCTTTCAGCTATCCTCTGGTAACCTCTTTCAGTCGTTCTCAGGCAACTTTTCAGTCGTCCTTCGGCGACGTTCTGATCGCCTCCTAGTGTACCTCCGGTGACCTTCTTGACATTCACTGACCGTCCAGATCCACTATGGCATTATCCGATGTTTCCCAGCCAATTTCCATTATTCTTGGAGGCTCCAACTACATCGTTTGGGCTCATTTTTTGACCAATTTTCTAAAAGGTTATAAATGTTGGCGTTATGTTACTGGTTATATCAAAGAACCTATTAAAGATGAGACCGAACTTATTGACAAATATGTTGATCGTCTTCAAGGATGGAAAAGCAAAAATCATCAAATTATAACTTGGTTTCAGAAAACCTCAACATCATCCATCAGTTTGATCGTTTTAACACCACTGTAACCATTTGAGACTTCCTTTGCCAATGTTACACGACAACAGATCTTGCTAATTAGTATTAGCTTCTTAGTACTCTTCACAGCTTATGCCAAGATCCTGGTCGGTCAATCAATAATTTTGTATCACAGATATACAATATTTGAGATTAGTTGACACCATTTGAGCTTAAATGGAAATTTACAAATGATGAGAAGTTTACTACTTATCGTGATCAACAACGTTTGATTATGTTCCTCATGGCTGTCACCGATACTTTTGGGTCTGTTCGAGATCTCTTCTCATCGCAGGTCGTTACCTACTTTGGAATAAGTTATTTGAAACACTTCAAAATCTATCCTAGAAGATATTAATTATTTATAAAACATCCAATTATCAGAGCATACTAAAGTATCATTAAACAAATAAAATTATTTAATCCAACATCTGATTAGATAAATCGCCAAAGAAAATATAAATAAATTCTTAACATAAGTAAACCATCAAATATAAACTTCTAAGACTAAAATTTATTCACAAAGTTCCGCAGTTGAATCCAAAACATGATGCCCCTCAGCATCCCAATCTATCGGCTCACTTAACTTTGGATTCTCCTGAACACTTAAATATGAAAAATGTTATTATAGGATGAGCAATAAAACCTAGTAAGAAAACTTTCTCAAACCCAAATAAGATTTAGAAATCATGAAAACAGGTAAATCACAGTTTGCAAAATAATATATATAATTTTCAATTAAAACATTGACATTCAACGAGATCTTAAGTTTACGATATCAAATAGTAAAGTTTACAGAAGTAAAACTCATTTCCAATTAGGGTTGTTAGTCGAACGAGCCCGAGCCAATTTCAAGCCGAGCTTGAAAAGCTTATTTCTTAATTGAGCCTAAAAAATTATTCAAGTTAGGCTCGTTTAGAAAATGAGCCGAGTCTGAACGAGCCAAAAATAAGTCAAGCCTGAGCCGAGCCTATGTATTTGCACATAAATAAGTCGAGTCTGTCGAGTTTGAGCCAAACTTATAGGACTTAATTTCTAAATGAACCTAAACACTTGTTCAAGTTTGGTCTCTTTAAGAAAACAAACCGAGTCTGAACGAGCCGAACTCAATCAAAGCTCGAGAAGTTCAGTTTGATTAACAGTTCTATTCTTAATGCAACTATTATTCACAAATATTATATCTCATGTACACAAATAGATTAGCATGAAACTACAACACGAACATATCTGGTTCACACCACACCACAATTACAAACCATCAAATTAATCCCCGTAGGGTCATAAAACTTTAAGAATGATGTATACCGATATATTGGTAGTGACAAATTCTTCCCAAGATTAGTATACTAACCCCCAACCTCAATCAGTATAAACGAATAGTAGTTTGGTTATCACAAGACACCAACCCAACTATGAGTGATAAGAAACTTTCAAACCCCTTGAGGTAAGAAACAATATTTAAACACTTTGCGATATAGATTCAAGTGCAATTTATGTTTAACACACCCACTCATACAAATGATAAATTTCACAACTTTTTCATAAAATTCAACTACAATCAAAATCATGGTTTCGTAACTTTTCAAAAAGAATAATGCAAGAAAACATGCTAGAGATCCCCAAGATAACCTTTTTGAATTAATAGTAATCAAAAACTAGGATTTTGTAATTAAGGCATGTAAATTTTGATGTAAAACATGTGTAGGTTAGATTATAAATCAAGAACATATGATTTTTGGATGTAAAATATTTATTTATATGTAAATAATTTGTTTATTCAAGAATTTACGAATATATTAAAAAAGAATATAAAAACTTTATAGATCTATCACATATATAGAATAGAAGTTAAAGTACAAGATTTTAAATTAAGAACGGATAGATCTTAAAAGCAAATCATGTATTTTGTTCAAAAAATAAATTATGGATTCAAATGAATGTACAAGCATTGTAGATCAATTAGTTATATCATAATAAGGATGAAAAAAATATATTATATAACCCTAAATATCAGTGAATGAATTTGAGAAAGAACCCCTATCTTGATTCATTAGATCTTGATCCTAACGTATATCACATGTTAATCCTTCAAGATTCAGTTCGTTATTCCTCTTTTTTTTCTCCTCAAACTTTATTAGGCTTCTTGGAATTGAAAAATAGGTAAAGACACTTCATGGCCCTATGGTATTTATAGGCTGAAAAACGAAAAATTCTTGTCTAAGCATGGGTAACCACCACCTGTCATCGCCAACTACTACCGCCACCCACTGTCACTCACCTCCACCACACTTACCACTATCACCGTCACCGTTGTTTGCCAATATCCATCACACTGTTGCCTAAAAATACCCGTTGTCGCCCACCACCACCATCATCATAATCGACCACCGCCGCCACCAACGTTGTTATCCCACCACCATTGCCAACCACCATCAACATCGCCTACCACTGTTATCGTCACTCATGACTATCACTATCACTATCGTTACCCAAAACCTACCATCACCGTTGCCACCCACAGCTATCACCATCACCACGGTTTTCGTCATCCATCACAATCATTATTGTCTTCCACCACCACCACTACCGCCCATTACCATTACTACTGCTCACTCCCACTATAATCAATGCTTAAATTTTTTTTTCTCTCCTCTATATTTGTGATTTAATTTTGGGTGTAAATACAAATATATTTATTATTGACTATTTTTTTATTACTCCGTACCTTCAAACACGAGTAATTACTAGTTATACAATATTCAGTCAACAAATCTATGAAAAAAGACCATTATATGATTCTCATATCTTTAGAATTGGCAATGACATGCAGAAGGGATAAAAAATTGACAAATTGTAATGATGTGGTCTAAAATAATTATCTCTAACCTTTAAATTTTATGAATATGCCTCATAAGTACCCAATAATCAACCAGTAATCAATTGGGAATGATTAAGATTGTCAGCAAGTATGGAAGAACTATCAACAAACAAATTTTTGGTAGTAGCCGTCCATCAATTGAGCTTCCATTGTAGGAAATATGGAGATACTGAATTACACCCAAAATGGTAGAGCATTAGAATGACTAAATTTGTTTTTGGAACGGTACTACAAAGTTATTAGAAAATGTCCTTTAATTAATAACCCTGTCAAGAAGTTCTCTGTTGGTATAATTACACCCCATTTGCTACTGGATAAGACCATTTTGGTGACTTTCTCCTAACCATAATAAGTGATATCAACTAATGGGTAGAATTCACGCTTTAAATCGACTACCAGAGAATAATGTTTCTGGTGCTCATACACACCTAGTCATCACCCTTGACTGATGTGACACACTTGGAATCATAAATACTACCACGCTGCCGTATAGTCAGTGGACAAATGACTCATTCTATCATCAAACAATGTGACCCTTTCCTACTTAGCCTAATGGTAATTTTACTCTAGCATATAAGGCACTCCTTCAATGAAAATGATCTCAAGGCAGGCCGCAAACCCATATTAGGTTAATTTCCTTCGATTCTCAACATGGTGCCAGATATCGAACGGAAAGAACTTGCAAGAATAGATTGTCCGAGAACTCGTATACACCGCCAAACTCATGCTTAACCAATGTCAGACACTTGGGGCATTTTTGGATGGTTTTTTAAGGGGGATTGGATTGGTTTTATCAAACCTTTTTCAAAATCAACCCTCTTTTTTGTATATGGAATTAGTACACAAATCCTATTTATACCTTTGTTGGTGAGTAACATAAATATATGAAGAACCCACATATTAATAACAATTATAACAAAAAATTATCATGTAAGTACCTAAATTGTCTATTGGTCATTACAACCCATACCCATGTTTATTTAAGTATAAAGAGAGATGTGGTTGGGAGTTGGCATATGTTTTGGATGGACAGAATAATTTATTATGTATACAATAATCAATTCACCTATTTATTCTGGGTTGATAGATATGAAACCCAAATCCCCCCATGAGTTTGGTGAAACCCATGTATTTAGGTTTGGCCGACATTGTTCACCACGGGCCGAGATTTGATTCTCCGATCTCAAATGTGTAAATAAACATGGATATGACTGATCCATTGGACTATTTTGGTTAAACCTTTTTGATAACCTCCAAACCTAATAAACAAACAGGCCATCAAGTCATTGCAATATGCACCCTATGTTTTGATGAATATACTATTTGGACCTGATTTGTTAACTTAATCACTCATAAACATTGGATTGACAGTGGACCCCAATATTTATTAAAATTCATTACCAATCCAATACTTGTGTTGGATTAGATCAACAAATTAGATCTAGATAGTAGTATTGAGTTTCAATGGCTTATGAAAGTTCCATTCCCTTTGCTCCTTATTGGTTAGTCCACATTCTCTATTGATATGGGCCTTGGATGGTGACAGAATTAGGTTTACATGAACTCTTAGAATTAGAATGCACTTAAACACAAGGAAGAATTCAAGAATCGGTTAGGCCAACGATGACACAAGGCCGATGCATTGTTGGTTGCACAATTTTCATCGTGCAGACGAATTTTGGTCCAAATTTAGATGATTCGAACTCATTATCACATGAAGTCACCTTCTAATAACAATGGGCGGTGATTTCATGTGGCAACGACGTCACTATATTGAACATTTGCTCCCAGAGTATCCAGGCTCTTCTGTTCGTAACTGGACT